TTCCTTTTAGCTTGGGATGTTGTATACATGACGTATGTGAACGGCTTGTCATCATCACTTAGTGAATTCTTGTAAGAATGCCCCTCTCATTGCAAATGTCCTGTAGCCGTGATATGTGGATTTGTTTTTGTTTTTATGTAACGTATGATAGTGTTATATTTGGCCGACGAAAGTTTTTCCCGAGTTGAATAATGTGATCGGTATAAGCTGAGATGAGAAGAATTAAGTTTAGTTAAGCCGAGTTGAGTTAACAGTAACCATTAGATAATGAAGATTCGTCCCCATCGTCAGCAGGCATCTCATAGTTCTGATTCCGATTATGCATATTATCAAATGAATATAACATGCTTATTGATAAAATACTGCAGTGTGAAAGACGGGTGTTTGGAAAGACCGAATGTAAGACGGTTCTGTGTGCCCAATTTGTGACCCTTTAAAAATAAAGTTCGTTCGTTTCTGATTGTTCCAGCAACAGTCTGATTGTGTCCATTGTTCATTGTTCATTGTTCATATCAAGATCATCTTCATCGCACATTGGACATGACCATAAGTGCTCCGATCTCCTCCTGAGTATATCTCTACACTCATATATAATATTGCGTTACCTCTGAGTGTTGAGTGTCGACCATATCCCTTGGTGACTCCCCGCTGTAGCATTCTAATCAAACCGTGATCATTTGTTTTTGCTTCCGCATTGTTCAATCGCCTCCAAAGAGAAGTGATACATGTAGCTAGACTATTACACATCGTATTATCATATATATTACAGAACCAGCGAATATTTTATTGATGCCTTGTCCACACAGACCTGTAGGTTAAACAGGCTTTAGGAGTGACCAGAAGAGATAAAATCAGAAATGCGATCATTCGGGATAAAGTCATCACTGAACCAATTCTAAATTACACAGAAAGACAGCAAATTAAATGGTTTGCCCAATTTGAGAGAATGCTTTCTAGTGCTATACCATTCAAGGCAAATACTAAAAGAGGAGAGAGACGTAGAGCAAGAGGTAGACCAAGAACCACATGAAAAAATAACATCAGAGAAACTTTACAGTACCACGATGTGTCTTTAGTCTAAGCAGCCAGAAAAGCACGAAGCAGGACCTTATATCTCCCTCGATACCCGAAGCGGTAAAAGAGGTATTAAAGAAGAAGAAGATATGTCTGGAAAGAGAGGAAGAGAAAGGCCAAAGATAAGATAGGTGCAGGATGTGGGGGATGATCTCCAGGGGGGTGTATCAGACGCGGGACATCTTTCTTGTGTTTCAGAAGTTTTCCGGAGGGTTGTTATGGGAGCAAGGTTCTGCAAAGGACATGACTGACTTGGATGGGATTTATCACGACCGGCAACCGGCTCTAGCTGACGGGCCGTGCTGCTGACGTCACCGGGTCGGGCTAAAGATGTGTTAACGCAGCGGTTCTAAAACTGGGTGCCGAGGCACCCTGGGGTCCATAAATGTATGCCAGGTTTGCCGAGGCAATAATTAAGAAGAGTCGGCTAACAAATTGTGAAATTATTAAGGAAGGCAAATAGATACTAAAGAGTTAAAATCTAATTTGTCTTCCCTCGCCACTGTTTATTTATTGTTTAAGAGCCGCTGCATTAGTGCATCGTTAGCCTGACCCGGTGACGTCAGTAGCACAGCCCGTCAGCTGGAGCCGACCGTGGATTTATCCTGGTGGTCTGATAGCAAGCATGACTTGTGTAATCTCTAGGTCACAAACCTTCAGGCTGCAGCCTTGAGGGGATACGAGAGGAATGAATGTTTAGGGCACGGACAGCTCCAGATTTATATACAGCCCGACGTGGTTCAGGGAAATCCGTAGCGAAGTGGTCGATGGTTCCAGTGAAAAAGCGTTGAGGAGTTGCAGCGCAATGTTTAATCTGTTACTGTAATTAGCAGCACAATCAGTCGGTTCACCAAATCCGTTTCAAAACGTCTCTCTCATCACGCTTCACCGGAAGTCTTTCGTTCTCTGGCTATTTCGATATACCTAAGTGCTTTCTCAGCCAATGATTCTTCAGAGTTTTGTATCTATCTCGCTATGCTTAAGTGCTTTCATAGCCAATGATTCTTCCCTGCTTTGCATCCACCTTCGCGGAGGTCTGCTTTTGTAGGGTACTCACAAACGTTAGTAGTCTAGAAGAGTGCTCACGATTGCTGTGCTCGACCATGTTACAAGATCACATGTCGTACTTGTAACAGACTCTGAAAGCATGCTGAAAAAGGTGAAGACATGGATGCTTCGAGCAGAGTGGCTAGCTTTACTAGAAGATCACAGGTAGTGAGCATACTTTGTATCTTTTCTCCAGGCTATGCTGGCGTGGTGGGTAATGAACAGGCAGACAGATTGGCTGGATCCTCACCACTGGGTGGTGAATTGATACATGAGAGGGCAGATGTGGTAAAGGCCCTTTGGAAACAAGCAACGGAATCAGTGGAGAAAGAAGATTATTATGGCCTGGAGAGAATGGGGCACCTGGGTGTAACCAGAGGGTCTGGCCGGCTCACTACACTCAGAGGAAAGGCAAGACCGACTTTGAACCAGATTGTGGCCGGTACCATCAGTATTTTAACTCTGCGCTGGCAGCTGAAGATGAGGACCGAGCATGCATGGATATGCCCCGAGTGCTGTGTTGTCAATTATTGACTCAACTCAATTCAACAACACACCATACATTAAGAAACCGATGAGACATCGTAGACATGCAGTATTGTCGCTTAGTTTGTAAAGCTCAATGACAGGCTTCCAGTCAACTGCACCATAAATTCAAGAGTTAACCAAAAATGAGATTAATATATTACAAATCTAAAATGTAGAAATGAACACCATCTTGAATAAAGCTCTCGCGTCAGTTTTCCAGATCTACCTAGGACAGTTCTGGATATCCCATGAACCACCATCAAAAACAATCGATTTAGGTCAAAGCAAAGAGTCGCGCCACTTTTTATTCTCAGGCATCAACATCCATTTTGTATTTGCACACTTGTGTTCACGTGTGGTTTTGCTAAAGTAAAAAGTAAAGGACCCTTTTTCACGCCTTTAGGCGTATAGGGCATATAGGGCTGGACTTATATTTTTATAGACCAATCGGCACAAGATGGGTGTTGAGGTCAGCATCATGCCAGTTTGCTAAAGAAGATATTTAAAAAAAAGGGGAATCCGATACATCTACGTTACATATCCTTACGTAACACAGAGACGCAACTAAACCTCGCCTTAAATGGGCACTAGGCAAAGGCCTGGCAAGTAAAGGCGGTCGGCATGATGATGACCACATCAGTCACCGAATTCCGATCGATCTATAAAATATAGGTCTAGCCCTATATGCCCAGTACGCGAAAATTCATATCGGCGGAGCAGAGGAGACAGATCGGGCCATGTGGGATAAAACCCAGTGCAATGAAATGGATTCTCTACTGTAGATCTTAACTATACACAAAATTTAATCTGAAAACTTAAAGAAAGACAAACATATATTGAGGTCTCGATTGTGGTTGTTTAATATTGACTCAAATATGATTACTTATTTTATATTTTAAAATAATTTTTTAAGCAAATTACTCCAGCTAACTTCGAGAAAGAGACAAAACATTGCTAGGTAATGAGATTTGAAAAGAAATAGTGCATAACCCAAAACACGGCTACAAAAGCAACAGCTACAAGAAAACCCACACCAGACAAAAGAGACACTGTGCAAAATATTTATAAACGAATGTTGGTAGAGGAAACAAGGTTAGATAAAACTGCATCTGTGAGAATGTGTGAACGTAAAATTAGGTGTGGATCCAGAAAGGAAGGAAGTATGAGAGTAAGAGAATGACATGAGTATAATCAGTCTGCTGTTGTAAAAGTGAACATCTACACCTTACGTCATTTGCTTTAGAGACAGAGCACCAATGGATATAGCTGGATTTTTTAAATATCAATTCTTAAATCATTAAACCATGCAGAATATGAAGATCGGCCTCCGAAAGGGCAGACTGAAATGATTTTGGGCTGTTTATGACGACAGCATGATTGCATAAATGAATGCAAAAAGAATGACAGCTGAGCGTCCGAGAAGAAACACACTCAATACAAATAATGGCAACAACGGTCTTTAAATCCCATTTTATAACTGTGGAAGACTTTTATTAACGCGGGCAGGCCTTGCTAGTCACACTCGCCATCGCCATGGGCTGTGAGCCATATGTCTCCTCGTAGCACAATATTAAACATGCCTCCTCATACATAGCACAGTATTACACATGTAAGCACAGTCGAAATGAGACTCACTTTAAAATCCAGCTGCTACTCGTTGCAACCCACGGCCGGTATTCGAAACTGGGCGGTTCCCAGGGTTCACTCAGCCTCTAGGAAATGGGTACCAGAGTTAACATTCTGGGGTAAATGGAGGAACGTCGCTGCAGCGACGGAGTTTCGTGCGGAAGGCGACACAGGCAGACAGTATCTTATCAGCTGCCTGCACTGGTGGCAGTGCACTTATGGTTTATAATGACGCTGGTTCACATCTCCCGACTTTACCTTTACATGCCTGCTCCCGACACAATATTACATATGCCTCCTCGTAGGACAATATAACACCATTGTCTGGGAATTTGGAAAGGTGCCATCTATGACGACAGCATGGAAGAGTATCAGTAAAAGAGTTAATCCACAGCAAGGGTCAAGATCTGTTGAGAAGCAAAGCTGTGCCTGCTAGCAAAGCACGCTATGGTAACTATAATATATTTCAAATGCAAAGACTATTTAGGCACAAAGAGTTACAATGGGCAATTCAGCTTAGTGATGTTTCGCGAACTTTCCAATTATCATCTTCAGACTTATGCAAAATATAGGGAAGCTATCGAAAAGTGCGCCGATTTGATGTTTAGGACAGTAAAATCTTAACATATATAATGTCACAATCACACATTTCCCTTAACAAACCTATAAATGATAATTTAATAACTAATTTGCATGACCTTTCTTGTATTTATGATTTTTAGAACTTAGACATTATCATCTGAGGAACTCCACATTTTGATTCCCAGCAGAGAAAACCCCAGGTAAATTAGAGACAAAACTACCAGGCAAATAGTCTTGGGAGCCAGGTACCAGATCCAGCTCCTCAGGCTACTGTCAGTTCGACCGAGCTCGCTGCCTGAAAATAGGCTGGATTTGTTTATCCTTTCTCCATTCTGGATTATAGCCGTCTCTTCTTCTGTCTGCCATGATTCCGGCTGAAACTGATTCGTTGTCGATTCTGTCGATCCTGAGAATAATCGAGAAATCACTTAATATAACACAAAGACTTAGGTCAGATAGGGTTGATGGTTGAAGAAAATAATTGAAAAATCATTTAACACAACCCTAGGATCTAAGTCCCTTTCAAAAATCGTGTCTCCTGAAAGAATTTGAACTCAGTAACCGTTTGATATTATTACTATTTTCCCTTTCTGTTCAGCATCTTTTTCACTGCTCTGTTTAGGCGCGCATTCGGGAAGGCGACTGAAGGGATATAACTCCGTAAGAGGCCAGATGGCAAGCTATTTAATTTGTCTAAGCTTCGTGCAAGGACTAAGTGCAAACAAGATGCCTCCGGGATTTTCTTTTTGCGGATGATGCAGCCATTTTTGCACACCCAGAGCATGCTTTGCAGGTCCTCATGAATCGCTTTGCAAACGCATGCAAGGAATTTGAGCTTACCGCCAGTCTCAACAAAACTCAAGTGATGAAAATGACTAATGAAAAGCCACTAAAAATGTGTATTTATGACCATCTGTTGTTGGCTATACATGAGTCTGAGTACCTAGACTCACGAATCTCAGGCGATCAATCCCTTGATGCAAAGCTAAACAGAAGTATAGGAAAGGCCTCAGCAATGTTTTTAAATCTTACTTAGAGAGTCTGGTAAAATGAAAGGCTGACTGGTAATATGACAATGAAAGTTTATGTCTTGTCTCTTGAGCACACTACTGTAGGGTAGGGAATCCTGGACTCTATACGCTTCTCAATAAAATAGACTGAATACAGTCGACATTGGCTGTATTAGGCGCATCCTTGGTATATTATGGCGAGACCTTGTTCCTAACCTATGTGTACTCACAAGAGGAAAATTACCATCAATATACTGTCTACTGAAGGAAAGACGTCTGCGCTAGTTGTGACATGTCTCCCTGATGGAGGATGGCCGTATCCCAAAGGATCTCCAGTTTAGTAAACTGGAAAAGGGGAAAAGACTTACAGAAATGCTAAAGCTACGTTAGAGAGACTTCTGCAAACGTGACCTGATAGATACCAATATAGGCACAGAGACTTGGGCAATATCCGCTGTAGATAGACTACAATGTTAACAGAAAGTGACAGACGGATTGTCCCAGTATAAAAGAAACCAAACTCAGCGAGCTATAGAGAGGAGACGCCAGAGAGAAAATCAGCCACATTACTTGGGGTATCTACTTTTTTATGTATCCTCTATGGCAGAGACTGCCACTCCTGCATCGGACTACAGCCCTAGCAGATGTTGTTCCCAGATCCAGCGGCACGACTCCATAGCCCCTTGGGTCTAACAGATGCCATTATTATCAGAATGTTACCATACGAAGGTGGCAGTGTAACGCTGGGTGATATATGTAGAATCAGTAATACGGGATTTCAGTCTGTCAGTCCGACTAACTGTCCATACATCATCCATCCATCCTTCCCTCCGTCTATCCAGCACATCGAGATTGTTGGTGGTGTGTATTGTTGTTTAATATATAATAGATTAGGGAACAGTACATGTGCTCTATCTATCTATCTATCTATCTATCTATCTATCTATCTATCTATCTATCTATCTATCTATCTATCTATCTATCTATCTATCTATCTATCTATCTATCTATCTATCTATCTATCTATCTATCTATCTATCTATCTATCTATCTATCTATCTATCTATCTATCTATCTATCTATCTATCTATCTATCTATCTATCTATCTATCTATCTATCTATCTATCTATCCATCTATCTATCTATCTATCTATCTATCTATCTATCTATCTATCTATCTATCTATCTATCTATCTATCTATCTATCTATCTATCTATCTATCTATCTATCTATCTATCTATCTATCTATCTATCTATCTATCTATCTATCTATCTATCTATCTATCTATCTATCTATCTATCTATCTATCTATCTATCTATCTATCTATCTATCTATCTATCTATCTATCTATCTGTCTATCTGTCTATCTGTCTGTCTGTCTGTCTGTCTGTCTGTCTGTCTGTCTGTCTGTCTGTCTGTCTGTCTGTCTGTCTGTCTGTCTGTCTGTCTGTCTGTCTGTCTGTCTGTCTGTCTGTCTGTCTGTCTGTCTATCTATCTAATCTATTTATCTATCTAATCTATCTATCTATCTATCTATCTATCTGTGACAATACGCTCGGTGACTTCAGAAAGTCTTTCCTCAACCTACTTTTATTTCTTTGTATTTTGAAAGCATACAGGAAAATAGGGATTTGGATACATCCTTAATCTAAGTAGGCGAAATGAACAAGCATTTAATTCTCCTGGGATGTTGGCGATATCACACACTAAAACTTTTTCCCAGACGTTAAGTGTTGAGGTACAGAGATAAGACTGACCAAGCAGACTTACTGACTGGAGATTTGCACACCATTTGTTGGTGTCAGATAATTATCTCCTAGCCAGACTTTTAGGAGCAGATAACTCCGGCTAATTGTGTTTAATTCCCCCTGAGGTTATCTAACTCGAGGGCAGGTCCGACGGTCACTATTGACACAGTGAGCTGAAAGTGTTGGCAGAAGAATTGACAAAGTCTGATTTTATTGTGATGACAGGTGAAGTAGACTGGAGGTGTGACTTGGCCTATTAGCTTTGACCAGCTTAATTGAACCTGTAGAATTTAAACAAGTGTTGTACAGCCCTGACTGACAGCGAATAAACTTACCCACAGGGGAGGAGCTGTGACATCCTTGAATGAGAATGGTTTTAGGCGTAATGTAGGAGGAGCTTGATAAATGTTATAAAGGGGTGAACTCTAGGTCTGGTAAATGAGATCCCGTCCAGCACATGCCATCTGTTGGGCTTAACCTAAGCTTGAGACAGAACTTTTGGCATCGTGGTTTCATTTTTCCAGGTAAGATCGAAATTAGGTTCAAATCTATATTTTGTGATAGAAATCTGTCTTTTTACTCAAGTGTGTGTCTTCATCACTTTGTAGTACTCCTAGGCGGACATTTCTTCATTCTCGTAGGGCACTGTCACATTGCTTTATATCCTATTTGATAGTGTCATGAATGGTTTTTCGTGCACATGTGTTTCAATGTTGTAAAACCTAAATGTTGTTGTTACCATCGAAATTTAATGAACTATCATGTTTTTTAAACCACAAGCGTGAAGATAAACTTTGGCAATCTTTTCACGTGTGGTTAATGTGAATCTGTATTACATACAGCTTACACACTGAAATGTGTTTAACTCTCGGGAGGCTAATGCGGAGATTGATCCCGGAGAGTAAATCCACGAGATTTGTTATTTGATTCGCCCCAGAACTATTGTTAGCATTCTGGGCGCGTCGATTGTTCCAAGCATAGATTCCAGAACTTGGTCTGTCTGACTGATTGTCATTTTGAGTCTGTACCAGAGATGGCACCTGACGTAGAAGACTTGACTATCATTACAGGACGTGTAGAGGAAGGCAGAAGATGTAACAGTTGGAATGTGAGGCATAAGCCCTTCCAAATTGGACAGGAGTGAATGTGAGCATGAGGGAGAGATGAAATGTTTTATTTAAATAAACATGCTTGATGTTATTATAATATACATGCTTAGTGTACATCTAGAGCAGATACTACAAATATGCGCTTGTTTCTTTATCACAGTTCCCACATTGGGCAGGGACTAGTAGGCATCCATTATTTGCCGACCGTCGAGTGTAACGACCTGCAGAAAGCAGTGAGGACGACAAACTGGAAAGATAGGCAGGGTCTCAAGCCGAGAACTGTCCTGACGGTGAATTCTCCTACTAGAAACTAGAAGCTAAGTTATGTACAACTTTAATGTCATCTATAACATCATCCCAACTCTACTAGCCTAAACAAGTTCATTTTAATTTCGATTTATTCAAATAAATCATGTTTGATGTTGTTACCACATAAATGAGTAAATTGCGTACTTAGGTTCAAGTGTCTTTGTGCATATTAGTTTACTTCAGCTAACAAATATTTAAATCACTTGATGGGGGCTTTTAAGTAATGCCAGGAGAGGAGAATAGTCGCAGGGGTTAACTGTGTATCGAGATAATATCACAGTGGGTGTATCCTGATATCTATCTATCCCTTCTCCTACTCCTGTGGATACAAGTACAGCAACTTTCATTTCATGGAACGAGCCACTCGCTGTTTTCTTGGCTATCCAGGACTGTCTAGGATCAACATAGCTTAGATAATAGTCCAGTTTCTCACGTGGGTGGGCATTGTTAAGGTTCAAACCCACACCCTCACTATATCAGTGTATTTACCCACGTGGGCGCGCGACACTATCTATCTATCTATCTATCTATCTATCTATCTATCTATCTATCTATCTATCTATCTATCTATCTATCTATCTATCTATCTATCTATCTATCTATCTATCTATCTATCTATCTATCTATCTATCTATCTATCTATCTATCTATCTATCTATCTATCTATCTATATATCTATCTATCTATCTATCTATCTATCTATCTATCTATCTATCTATCTATCTATCTATCTATCTATCTATCTATCTATCTATCTATCTATCTATCTATCTATCTATCTATCTATCTATCTATCTATCTATCTATCTATCTATCTATCTATCTATCTATCTATCTATCTATCTATCTATCTATCTATCTATCTATCTATCTATCTATCTATCTATCTATCTATCTATCTATCTATCTATCTATCTATCTATCTATCTATCTATCTATCTATCTATCTATCTATCTATCTATCTATCTATCTATCCGTCTGTCTATCAACTACCTAAGTATTTACAAACACACACACACACACATTATATATATAAACACCTGAATCACGGGTACCTCTGAAACGCCGGGTAGCTACATTATCTTTGGGGAACTCGTCGTGAACTGGAAAATCTGCATAGTTAGGAATAAAATCATTTGAACATGTTTTAACTGCAGTACTACATTCTTCTATTGGGAAGATGTTGCCGGTAAAACTAAATAACAACACATACTGTTTTTTTTTT